TTCTTTTACATTTATGACAACAGCTAATTTGCAACCAAAAGGTGAGTGAGCGTAGCGAACGAACTTCAACCTGGAGGCGAGTTAGCGTAGCGAACGAGCTAACCTGAAGGCAAGTGAGCGCAGCGAACGAGCTCCAACCTAAAGGTGAGTGAGCGTAGCGAACGAACTTCAACCTGGAGGCGAGTGAGCGTAGCGAACGAGCTAACCTGAAGGCAAGTGAGCGCAGCGAACGAGCTCCAACCTAAAGGTGAGTGAGCGTAGCGAACGAGCTCCAACCCAAAGGTGAGTGAGCGTAGCGAACGAACTTCAACCAGGACGTGATTGAGCGATGCGAACGAGATCATCTTGAAAATTAAACGTAACGGTACTTTCTTTCCATCGGTCTGTCTTAGGGGAAACCTATAACTTAGGCGATACGAAGTTCGCCGGGTCAGCTAGTATATATATATATATATATATATATGAATTTGAACGGATGGTGTTTTTGACCTCTAGGGACCTCAAAACCAAAAAAAAAATCGGTCCCGGGTCCAGGTCTTACCGTGAGTACTACGGTAATAGCTTATTCCCTATATGGGAAATTCGCTAAAACAGGGACAAAAACTGTAGGCCTACAGACACTGGTGTGCACATGACTGGTGCCGAGTCTCGACTGGTTCTGGAGCTGAACTTTGTCCCCTGGCCGCCTTTATCACGGTCCTTGTCCAACTTTATGAGTGATTCAAATAGAATATTAGTTTGCAGAGTGCTTTTGTCATTTAATATGTCCTGGGGATTGTTTTTTGCGGCTTTATAAATTTCAAACTGTTCCAGAGCTGTCATGATCCTGCCTTTGTTGCAAATGTGCAATGGTTTTAAGTTTGTTTCCAAATTAGTATAGTTGTGGTTGTTTAATACCAGATGTTCGGCATAATTAGATTTTTGCACCTTGGAGGCTTTTGGAATGTGTTCTTTGAATCTTTTCTCGAAGGACCGCCCTGTTTGGCCTATGCAAAATTTACTTCAGTCGTTACAGGATAATTTATATACTCCGGTTCTCTTGTTAACATCATCACCTGATCCTTTAGTGTTTATAAGCTTATCTAATTTTTGGAGGTTTTAAAGGATACTATTTTTCCATGTTTTTTTTTTTTCATTTCATTTTTTATTGTTAGAGAGGCAGTTGTTCGCCAAATTCTGCTGAAACAAACTCACGTTTAATTTATGGAATTATTTTGTGGAGTGGGAGGATTGTTCAATTTCTTGCGGTGTTTTTTAATTAAATTATCAATCATAACAGGACTGTATCCGTTGGATGTTGCGATGTGCTTTAAGATGTTTTTAACCTTTTTAAGCGATTTTAACCTTTTTACAATATTATTGTCAACGTGATTCGGAATAAACAACACAATATGAAGTTATGCAATAAATCTTGTCTATCGATTTCAGTACATTGCAGTCAAGAATGTACTTTAGATAAGGGCTGTGGTAGACTTACGAAAGTCAGAATTTTATTTTTACTTACAAGGCATTGTCAAGAGTTAAAACTTAGAACAATTGAGGGCTTGCTTATTGAGCCATTTTCTATAGAGAGAGTCAAAAGCATAAATAAGAGAAGCAAATGGAAAGTAAAGAAAAAAGAGATGGCAAGACTTCAGAAAATTGCATATAACGATGGGTTAAAATAATGAGAGGTTTATTGATCAGTAACATTTACTCACGTTTTTATGTTGTAATCTATAATACTAGGTGAAACCCGTCGAAATCGACGGTTAGGGGCCTCCTCGTTTATATGGTCGTGTGGCTTAATTGGCAACAGAACAAATAATGCAAATGAAATAGCAATGTGGCATTTCCAAAGAGAAAAACATACTGTAAATTGGCTGTTCCGTAAATATTGACGTTTACATTCATTGTTAATCAACGTATCTTATAAAGGATAATGTGGTCTAGTTTAAAAAGAATATGACCTTTCTGTCATGACAGTAGCTGCTTTTCGTGAGTCTAATAACATTCAAAGGCTCTCTAAGAGTTAGAAAAATAACATTGCAAATACTTCTTTTGGACAATTCAGTAACTCTCAATAAATGTGTGTTGTTTAAAATACAATTTAAAAATTAACAGCTGTTTCATTAAGAGTATTATCCACATGGCCAAAATGTAAAGAAATCTGTGGAGGGATCTTTTAAAGGCTTCTGGAGCAGAGCCCTAAGGGAATTTACTTAGTTTTTCTTTTGATAACTCATCTACAGACCAAGAGCTTTCTTTGGACACCTCTACCAAGTTTCTACGCCCAGTCGTTCTCTTAAATTAGTGGAGACAAAGTTTCCAATTGAATATTTAGATTCCCCCCATGTTAATCTTATTGGAGAAAATCCAACTTTGATGGACAATGCAGCCCGAACTAATAAAGAAAAAAAAAAAAAAATAAAAACACTTTGCAAAACTACAGATTAGGGCCATTCTTTTGACACTTTAATCGTCAAAATCTGTTCAAAAATGAGGGAGGAGTTCTGTTCACAAAAATCGGCTTAGCGTATTATATATATAGATTTGTTATAAAAAATGGTATTTGTAAATAAGGTTATTTGTTTATATCGATGCTCACTCCGGTCAATTGGCAGACATGAGGCCATTGAGGCCGCATACCTAGTTTAAATTAGACTACTGATTCTGATTGTATTAATCAAAGGAAGCCTCGTAGGCAAAATATTCATTTAAGAAGTTGTAGTGTTGGTGTAAAAGAACAGTTTACAAACAAACAGAGCTCATCTTATAGGTCAAGATGGCAAGTCAATTATCGCGCATATACCTGATGACACTGACGTGGAATACATACTCAGTCAAGCTAGAAACCTGAAGGGTACATGCCACGTTATTCACTGTGATTTCCCACGAGAGATAAGACTAAAACGTCCACGGCTGTCAGCGGTTAGCGAAGGAAATCGACCAACTCGTCGGAGGTTTGAAGATGCGACTGGTACACGACCATCTCCAAGTGAAGAGCACAAGGTTCACGGGGGAGGATGGGAAACTCAGGGCAGGACACTTGACGGAGCACTTGAATTAAGAAGACTATTCAGGCATGATTTCTCCAACTTCGTCATAGAACTCTCGCAGAAAGGCACTAAACAGAGAAACGAGTCACCCCTGTCAACTCTACAGACCTACACCAAGGTAACATCTCACGGGACGACAACAACAACTTCTCAGGAGACGTTACAGACAGCATCCCAGACACCATCAGGCCAGGACCAGGCAGAGGCAACACAGATGACTACATCCCAAGACCAGGAGGCAGTGTGAGGGGTCCACGCCATTCCTCAATTCAGACATCGTGAAAATAGCGCAGGGCAGCGAGATGAAAGACAATATTTTAGAATACTAGTATATAGTATCTGTGGATTAAAGAAAAATGTTAATAATGATTAATTTTTAGATTTAGGCCTAATATGTAATTATGATTTAGCTAGTTTTTTTATTAGAGACTTTTGTTTCTCAAAAAGACATAGATTTTAAGTTAAAAAAATTTAAGCTATTTTTTCAAATTAGCAATAAGGAAATCAAATATGGGAAGATTTAGTGGAGGGGAACTTGTATTAATAAGATTAACTTCACCATTCTGTAATAGTCTAAATTTTATTAATGAACAACAGTTTAATTTTGCAAAAGCGAGTTAAAACCCACAGAAAGCTGTAGTATCTAAATTTTCACTTTGTATATAAATCTCAATAGTTTTGGGACCAGGATTTTAATAATTTGCAATATTTTTGTAAATAATCACAAAAATGCAATTTGGTTCTTTTGGGCGATTTAAATGCTCCTGCTTGTGCATTGTAATGCTCCAAATTAGGCCTATTTATTATATTTAGAAACTGGATTTGATAAATTATATTTGTATATCTTAACCCTTTGGCCGCCGCAGTCCGATATATCTAACGTCTGCTAAATGTTTGTTTACTGCCACAAACGGTTTCACACTCTGCTTTGCCAGCCTTTACTACTTCCTTTGCAACTTCCTACGTCGCCATGTGGATTTTTGGTCCCCCTTCCTATAGCATTTTAGTATTTTAGATACAATTATCTAATTGCCACAAACGTTTCCCACAATCCACACTTATCGCCTTTACTACTTCCTTCAACACTTCCTACGTCTCGGACCTGTTTCCCTTCCTTCCCATAGTATTTTAGATAAGTTAATCTAACTGCCCCAAAGCATTCCCACACTCTGCACTGCTAGCCTTACTACTTCCTTCACCACTTCCTAGGTCGTGGACTTGGTTCCCTCCCTTCCTATAGCATTTAAATATTTTAGATACATAAATCTAACTGTCCCAATGCGTTCCCACACTCTGCACTGCTTTACTACTTCCTTCCTCACTTCCTAAGTCGTGGACCTGTTTCCCTCCCTTGCCATAGCATTTTGGTATTGCAGATACATTATGTAACTACCACAAACGGTTCCCACACTCTGCACTGCTAGAATTCACTACTTCCTTCACCACTTCCTACGTTGTTGACCTGTTTCCCTCCCTTGCCATAGCATTTTAGTATAGCAGATACATTAATTTAACTGCCACAGACGGTTCCCATACCTATACTGTTCGCCTTTACTACTTCCTTCACCACTTCCTACGTCTTGGACCTGTTTCCCTCCCTTCCCATAGCATTTTAGGATTGCAGATACATTAATACAACTGCCACAGATGGTTCCCACCCTCCGGACCTTTCGCATTTAATAATTCCTTCACTACTTTTACATCTTGGACCTGTTTCCCCCCTTCCCATAACATTTTAGTATTGCAGATACATTAATGTATCTGCCACAAACGGTTCCCACACTCCACTTTGCCATCTTTTACTACTTCCTTCGCAACTTTTTAATTCGCGTCGTAGACTTGTTTCTCCCCTTCCCATAGCATTTTAGTATTTTAGATTGATTGATTGATTGATTGATTGTAAGAGGGTGGACTCATGGTCCAAGCACGTCAACCGAAGCTTATTGTGCATCCCGCTTGCCACTAACTGGGTAAGCCTATGCCTGTGTCCCTAACTAGGTGCAGGAGCTTTTGCCCAATGTTAGCGTCTGGTTCCTCACCTGGCTTCTTTAGACCGAACATAGCCCTTCTCCTAGCCCGTAGTCCATCGCAGTCCAGAATAATGTGTTTTGCAGTCTCATCGGACTGGTTACAAAGTCGACACTCCTGCTTGTCATTGACAATTCCTAGAGTGTGGAGATGTTTCCTGAAATGGCCGTGTCCAGTGATAAGAGCAAGTACCTGCTTGACCTGCCCTCTCCCCAGCTTTAGCAGCCAGCGAGTGAAGAGGGTGCTAGGTTCTGAGAGCAGTTTTTCGCCAAGTGATTGTCCAGGATAATTACGCCAACGCTCAAGATGATGTCCCCTGGACCATTTGTTTATTACATGTTTAGCAGCCGCTTTGCTGATGCCACAAAATGGCTCTGGTCCAAAGAGTGGCATGCTCGCACCTTTTTTTGCCAGCTTGTCTGCACTCTCGTTGCCGCCAATGCCTACATGGCCTGGGACCCAGCCGAGAGTTACAGAGTTCTGTGATGCAAGTCTGCAGAGGGTGTTGAAACACTCCCCAGACCAGTTTTGAAGTGACTTCATTTGAGTCAAGAGCTTTGAGAGCAGCCTGACAATCAGATAAAATCACTATCCTTTTGTCTTGGTACCGTCTGGCTAGTCCTAGGTTGGCACAAGCCAAGATGCCATAGATTTCTGCCTGGAAGATGGTACAGTATTGTCCCAGACTTCCTGATAGTTCTGTTCTGGGTGATCGACAGTAAACCCCAAAACCAGATTTTCCATCGATTAGGGAGCCGTCTGTGTACCAGACGAAGCTCTCCATATCTTGGAGATGCCCTTCCTGATGTTTCCACTCATCTCTGGAGCGGAATTCAACATTAAAGGGTTTGGTGAAAACTGCTTCCTTGCTTAGGAAGTCTGAGGTCATGTCAAGCACAGGACACTCAGCCAAAGTCTTAGCAATGGCGCAGTGGCCTGCCCCTGACAGGCCTTCCCTCCACAGATTTGCAACCCTCAGACGGTAGCTGCCTTGAGGGCCTCAGATCTGATGAAGATGTCCAGTGGTAGCAGCCCAAGAGCGACTTCTAGAGTAGCTGATGGACTGCTCCTGAAGGCTCCAGTGGCCTGTAGCGTGCCGAGCCTTTGCATGCTTTCTAGCTTGGCTATGACAGTTACCTGATTCACCTTTGTCCACCAGACTAGTGAACCATAGGTAATCTGAGGCCTGACCACAGCCTCGTATAGCCAGAGTGCTATGTGGGGTTTAATTCCCCAGGTGGTTCCTGCAAACCTCCTGGACGTCATGAGCGCCCATTTGGCCTTGTGCAGCGCGTTATTCAGGTGGTTGTTCCACGTCAGCTTGGAGTCAAGTGTCAGTCCTAAATACTTGACCGCACTCGACACTCCCAGCTGAGTAGTGCCAATTTTCAGCCTAGAAAGAGAATCCAGGTTCTTTTTCCTGGTGAAAGGAACTACGACTGTCTTAGAAGGATTAATGTTGAGTCCCTCTCTGAGACACCATTGTTTAACACATTGTAGGTTGCCGTTCATGACGTCAGCTACAATGTTTGTGAATTTTCCTTGTACCATGAGGACTACGTCATCTGCATAGCCCTGGACAAAGATGCCCTTGCTGGTGAGTTCAGGTAGAAGACCGTCCACCACAAGGTTCCACAGTAAGGGTGAAAGTACACCTCCCTGTGGACATCCTTTTGTGGGTGCGATCACAATTTTTTCACCAAGAAAGTCGGCTACGGTGCGTCTTGAGTTAAGCATAGACTCTGTCCATCTACACAAGATTGCTCGAGTCCACGCTCACAAACTCCCCGCACCATTGCTCCGTATGTTACATTGTCAAAAGCTCCTTCAATGTCCATGAAGGTGCATAGGGCTATTTCCTTAGCAGCCAGGCTGTCCTCAATTCTGCTGACCAACTCGTGCAGAGCGGTTTCGCAGGACTTGCCTGGCTGGTAGGCGTGTTGATTGCGATGAAGAGGTGTGTTGAGAAGTACACCCTTTCTTATGTGCCTCTCCACCAGCCTTTCCAAGGTCTTGAGGAGAAATGAGGAAAGACTGATAGGACGGAATGATTTAGCATCAGAGTAGTCTGCTTTTCCTCTTTTGGGAATGAAGACCACCCTGCTGAGACGCCAGGCCTGAGGGATGTACCCGTAGGCCAAGCTCGCTCGGAAGAGTTCACATAGGAGGAGCTTGAGGGCATCCGGTCCTTGCTGAAGCATGGCTGGATAGATGCCATCTCCACCGGGAGACTTAAATGGACCAAACTTATTGATTGCCCATTCAACTTTAGAGAGAGTGACAACCCTTCTGGCTGTATTCCAGCTTTCACGATCAGTTCTCGGCCAAGAACTTGTATTCGTGCAACCGGACACTCCTGTGTCGTCACTCTCAAAAATGCAACCAGGGAAGTGAGTCTCAAGGAGAAGTTTGAGACTTCCTCCAACCCCAGTGGTATATTGCCCTCCTGGTACCTTAAGAGATCCCAAGAGTCCAATAGGTTTGGACGCTAGAACCTGCTGAAGGCGGGCCGCAGCACTGAGACTGTTTACCTCCTGTGTAAAACTGTCTCCATGAATTTTGTTTAGCTTTTTTTATTGCAAGGCTGTATTCTGTAAGTGCCCTTCTATATGGCTCCCACATACGGCTCCGTTTGCATTGGTTGAATAGTTTCCTGACACCCGCCCTCATGCGAGTCAAATCCGCAGTCCACCATCTAGTGCTGGTACTGCGTTTTCTCTGTCCCAGAGGGCAGTTGTCATGGAAGCAAGTGATCATTGCGTCCTGTAAGTCGGTCGCAATTTGGTCAATGTCTGCAAAGCAGCTGACCCTCCTACTCACGGATCCCAACTGGAACTGTAGGTCAGAGTTATACTGTGACCAGTCTGTTCTCCTGGGATTACGGAAGGAGGGGGTGACAGTGTCACTTAGCATGCTGAAGCAGATGTATTTGTGGTCAGATAACGAGGCCTCCTTACTTACGTGCCAGTTTTCTATGACTCTGTGAATGCGTTCCGTACTAACAGTAATGTCTATGACCTCCCGCCTTGTTCTTGTGACAAATGTCGGTTGGTTGCCCTCATTACAGATATACAGATTGTTTGAAATTAGATATTGAAGGAGAGACTCACCTCTTGGATTGATGTCCGAGCTTCCCCATCCGTTGGCGTGGTGTGCGTTGGCGTCACAACCTAGGAGTAGTTGTTGACCACCAGCGCTGGTTGCTTCCACCAAGAGCTCAAGCTCTCGATGGAGGTGGTTCCCTAGAGTCGTATGGCAGGTAAACCGAGCCTACTGTTGTGCTCCATTCCCTGCCACCATTTCTCCAGGTCATTGACACCGCAGTGAGATCTCTGGAGCAAAATTCGTTTAAGGTTAGAAAGTTCAAGCCTTTCCTCACGAGAATACATGTTCTGACATTCCTTAGAGAAGTGCAGTAAACTAACTCACCCTTTGATTCTCCAAGGCCTGCAACTCTTCCTTGGTGCAGCCATGGTTCTTGAATGAGTGCCAGGTCAAATCCTTCTTTGAGGAAGAACTGGCAGAAGGCGGCAGAGGCAGCCTTGTTATGCTGTAGGTTGATCTGGAGGACCCTGAGCATTGTCCTTAACCGGAGTTGTGACTAAGTGAGACCTGCCAGAAACCTAGATTGGCTCTGAAGTTGGTGGACTGCACAGCCTTGAAACAGACCTCATCCAGGAAACAGACGAATCCGTACCCTTTCGGATCTGGTTTGGCCGGCAGTATCTTCCACTCCTTGACATTGAGAATGGGATTTTGCATAGTAAACATTTCTATGATTTTTTCTGGAGTTTTCTTCAGCAACTTTGGATGTGCTCTGAAGAATACTCTCGTGGATTTCAGGATGTCCTTTCTCAGCCCTGCTTTGAGGGTGAGTTGCTCCTCTAAAGGCTTGAGAGCCGGGAACAATCCCTCCAGCCATCGCTTGGTGGCGTCGCTGAGGCAGGCAATGATGAGGGCACCTTTTTCCATATAGATTCCAGCAAACGCTGGACTTGAACCATCCTCTAAGGGCTGGAGTCTTTCCAGGATTGCTTCCTCAATTTTTTCCCCTTGCTCGTCATTTAACTTAGCCTCAGGATAGTTTTCAGGGACAATGGCAATTTTGGTAGCGGTGATGTCCCTGTAGGATGTTTCATTGGGCGTTGCAGGCTCCCCTGCGTCCTTCACCCCTTCAGACCTCTGGGTAGAACACCTGGCCTTCTTTGTAGGTCCTTCTGCCGAGGGTGGAGTGACCGTTGCACCTCTAGGGCGCTTGGTCACCCTCGTCTCGACATTTGGACCCGCAGTTGGGCCTGGTGTCCTTACCTCCTGTGGTCTTTTGGGTTTTTTCTTTTTTCCCCTGCGCCATTTGTCAGGGTCGAATTTTTCCCCTCTTTCTAGAAGTTTTGCCTTTAAGGCCTCCCTTCTTTGTGCCGTGGAGAGGTTAGGTTTCTTCATCTTAAGACGACTAAGTCGCTCAGTGGCGCCATCAAGTGTCTCACAGGAATTTGGTGTTTTAGGACTGCTTAAAAGCTCCTCTTCACTTTCCAGTGTGGCTGGTGTGAGCGGGGATTCGTCCATAGCGGAAGTTCCTGGTTTTGAGAGCGTTAGAGCCTCCTGTGCTCTTGGTGCACTCATTTCAAGAGCGGGGTCTTGCTCTGAATGAGCTGACCCCTTAGGTGTGGGCGGTGCAACTTCTAGAGTTGCTCCGAGGTTTGGTTCTGGTTCAGATTTTTTATTCATATCCATGGTGTTCCCACGAGAAGCAAGGGAAATTGAAGGTCGAGCCCAGACAGGGCCCCGCATGTCCAGGTAAGGCTGATTACTCCAGGAGGTCGCCCGGTGTCCTGGAGGCTCCGTACGCACCACCGCTGGGGAGCCCGGTGGCATTCACCTCTTCGGCACGGGTCACATGACACCACTGAGGTTGGCTGAAACAGAAAGCAAAAGCGAAAGGAAAAGGAGAAGGGAAGAAGATTCTTCAATAGGAAAGCGAAGAAGAAAGAAGGGCCAGCAAAAAGAGGAAGTTAGCTGGCCATACATACAGTACGTTTACAGTACATTTGTGAACAGCATGGTTTAAAACATCATTTTGTGGATCCCACAAGAATTACTCCATTGTCTAAATCATGTATTGACAATGTTTTCTCAAATAATAGATCTTTAACCAGCCAGGCTCATAAAATTGTAATAAATGCAGGTGACTCGGACCATGAAGCTCTATTATTATGCCTGGGTGAAATCAACACAAAAAATTTAACTAAGTCTAAATCTATTTTCAGAAGATTTTTTTCATGTGATAACATGGAAAATTTCAGAAACAATTTACAATCATCATTATGGCAATTTGACCCCTCTCTTGACGTTAACATTAACTACAATAGTTTTCTTTCAAATGTTTTGTTGAATTTCAATAATGCATTCCCTTTAAAACTATTTAAATCCACAAATCAAAAAAGTGAACACAAAATTTGGGTTACAAATGGAATAAAAATTTCGGCAGGGAATAAACGTTTGTTGCACGAAGAATCAAAGTGGAACAAAAACCAAGACTTTATCAACTATTTTAAGACATATAAAAAAATTTTCAAAAAAGTCACTACCCTTTCTAAAAAACTGTCAAATGAAAATTATATTAAAAAATCATTGAATATAACTAAAGCCACTTGGGCTGTACTAAACAAGGAGATGGGCGTAAATAAAAAGGACAATGAAATTCCATATCAAATTGAGAATACATCCCAACAGAATAGTTACAAAATAAAAAAAGAATTGGCTAATAGTTTTAATGAGAATTTTTTGAATGTAAAAAATAAGGTTCAATCTAATCCAGACGGAAAAAAGGCAATGAGTTTCATGGTCAGTGAGCAAAATAATATGTTTACATTTAATAAATTAAGCATATCT